CTTAGTATATAATCAATTAAGTAAGAAATATTCTAAAAAAGTATACTTATTATAATAAATAATACAAATAATCAATAAATTTTCAAATTTTTTGTTACTTCTTTCCTTAAAATATTAAAAATTAAGTTTTTACCTGCTCATTCAAAACGATTAAATAGAAATCAAAAGTTGATCATTTCTGTAGTAATTTTAATAATATTACGAATTTATTTACATCTTTTCATGTAATTGACACCATGACATTAGATTTTTACTTATAATTTAGTTAATAAAATGGTCGATATGTAAGTTACCAACAAAATCGCAATAAAAAGAGTAACTGTCAGATTTATAATGCAAACAATAAAAGTTATTGGTCGATTATGTAAGAAATCTTGTAAGAAGTCTACTTATTAAAATAATTAAAAAAGTTTTTTCTTTTTCACATTGATTTACAAACATTTTTATGCTTTTTCAATTTGTCACTAAATTATTACAATCATTCTTCTCAATATAGTAAAATCCATACAGCAAATGTTGATTTATACATTTGAGAAAGTTAGAAGATAAAAACAATAATTTTATTACAAGAATTTTACTGTAATTATCAAATTGTTGTTATTTATCAAACCATTGCTTAACTTCAAGTAGATTACTACGTTTTATTACGTAGTGACACCTCTCGAGTGAAAAGGATTAAGATGTAGACAATATTTTAGATCTATCAAAACAATTGTTGCTACCAAACTGAAGTAATACAAAAACTATGTTAATTTTACTAATTTCACAAATAAATATCTACCATTTTCTTTGTTACCATACAGATTTAATCTAATTTATCAATTAATTATGTTAATTTCAGGAAAATTCACTCATTACTGAAACTGATATAACTAATATAAATATGTATCAATCTTTGTTTTTGTAAATATTTTTATATTTTCATGTAGATAAACTTGTTTTGTATGAATTTAAGAGGTAAATAAGAAAAATTAATTATTCATAAAGTCAAATGTAAAATACCCATGTAAATGTCTAAAGAAAACGTAAATAATATACATTTCGATTCATGAAACAGTATTTTTATATAAAGAAATGGTTGAAAATAGTAGAAATTGTTGTAATTATGATGAAAATAAATGAATCATTATGATTCATACAAAATTATACTTGCCACAGCATTATACAAAAACGTGGTGTTGAAATGCATGTGTATAATCCCAGCTCCTTCACCACAATAAATTCATTCAAGTTTTATTAAAAAACACGTTTAAAGATTCAAATTATTTCACAAAATTTGTATTGGATCTAATTTAATTAAAAAAAACTAATTAAACGAAAAAAAAAACATTAATACTGGTAAAATTCTTCAAACTAAATTATTAATGAACGCTTTATATGGAAACTAAGTGCACTTGAATTATAGTTCGTTATGAATGGAGGACATTATATCTCTAATAAAAAAGATATACATTCTACAATCATTTTTTTTTACAAATTTATAACTTTTTTATCAATTTGATCTGAATTAGAAACGAAAATTCACATATTTATATATAAATCAAAAGAATATTTTTCCATAGTTTACTAAAATTTAATAAAATAGAATAAAAAATCGTTAAAGAAGATGAATCAGTTCTGGTTCACATTTTATAAAAGATGATGATGCATTTACCTTCGTATAAATAGAAACTCAACAGTCATAAAACACTCACAGTATTGCATGAAAATATTTACATACTGAACATTTTTATACTTATATTAGATACTTAGTTACAAATTAATTAATTTTGGCTATTTCCATCACATTTTTGTTATAAATCATTAACGAAATAATTTATAAGAACAATCTAATGTTTACTAATTGTCAAACAGATGTTAACCTAATTTATTTGACGTAGTTGTCAATTACAGAAATCCATCAGCAAATATATCAAGTGACAGTTCTCATTATGTAATCAATTAGATAAGATTTCAGTAATTATAACATATTTTACACTAAATAGTTTTAGTATTGTACTGAAAGTCGCACACCTAATGTGTTTGTTTGTAATTTTATAATAAATATCATTAATCAATGAAAAAATGCAAACAATAATTTAATAATTAAAAATAATTGTTTAACAGTTGTCAAACCTAATCTTAACCTAATTTATTTGAATTACATATCAATTACATAAATGTGTTAGCAAATATTTCAGTGACAGTTCTCATTATGTAATCAACATACATAATTAAAGAACATTTTACTAATTAAAAGCATATTTTACGCTAAATCCTTACAGTATTATACTAAAACTTGTACTCTGAATATTATTATGTGTTTAATTTGAT